GTCTTGTCCTCGTTTACCACCAGACCCATTCGCTTTGCTTCCCTATCCAACTTGGAAAAGGCAGATCAGACTTCGCGGTGTTTGTTACCGATGATGGCGATGTCATCGGCATAAGCCAGCAATTGCACGCTCTTGTAGTAAATTGTTCCTGAGCGGTTCAGTTCTGCAGCTCTTATTATCTTCTCCAACATCAGATTAAAGAAGTCACATGAAAGGGAGTCGCCCTGTCTGAAACCCCGTTTTGTGGCGAACGGCTCGGAGAGGTCTTTCCCAATTCTGACGGAGCTGGTGGTATTGCTCAACGTCATTTTACACAGCCGTATAAGTTTTGAGGGGATGCCTAATTCAGACATAGCGGCGTATAGGCAACTTCTTTTAGTGCTGTCAAAGGCGGCTTTAAAGTCGACAAATAGGTGGTGAGTGTCGATCCTTTTCTCGCGGGTCTTTTCCAAGATTTGGCGTATTGTGAATACCTGGTCTATGGTGGATTTTCCAGGTCTAAAGCCACACTGATAAGGCCCAATCAGTTCATTGACGGTGGGCTTAAGTCTTTCGTACAGTACGCTCGATAAGACCTTGTAACCCATGCCTAGAAGGCTGATCCCGCGGTAGTTGGCACGAATAGCGGGGTCACCTTTCTTGTGGATTGGGCACAGCACACTTAAATTCCAATCGTCGGGCATGCGTTCATCTGACCATATTCTGCACAAGAGTTGATGCATGCACCTTATCAACTCCTCGCCGCCGTACTTGAATAGCTCAGCTGGCAGGCTGTCAGCTCCAGCGGCTTTGTTGTTTTTCAGCCGCGTTATTGCTATACGTACCTCGTCATAGTCAGGCGGTGGAACGTCGACTCCGTCATCATCGACTGCGGGCTCGGGTTCTTCTTCTCCACAACTTTCCGTGCTGCTTCCATTTAGTAGGGCGGAAAAGTGTTCCCTCCATAATTTAAGTACGCTCTGGACATCAGTTACTAGGTCGCCATTATTGTTCGTACAGGAGTGCGCCCGGTCTTTAAACCTTCCGTAAGTCGCCTAACTCTCTGGTAAAATTTCCGGGCATTCTTCCTGTTGGCCAGCATTTCAAGCTCTTCGCACTCACGTATTTCGGCCTCTCTCTTCTTATTGCGGCAAATACGTCTCGCTTCCCTCTTCAGATCCCTATAGCGGTCCCACATAGCGCGCGTTGCGCCCGATCGCAGCGTGGCCCTGTAGGCGGCATTTTTTTTTCTGCAGCTTCCTGACACTCCTCATCGGTCCAGTTGTTCTTTCGGGCTCGCTGAAATCCGACTACTTCTTCGGCGGCGGTACTTAATGAGCGGGAAATGTGGTTCCACTGCTCGCATATGTCGGTTTGTTGAAGAGTGCTCTCTGAGAGCAGGTGTGAGAGTCGAGTAGCGAAAGCGCTGGCTGTCTGTTGTGATTGCAGCTTTTCGACGTTAAGCTTTCCTTGCATATTTGGGCGCACGTTGTTTGCCGCACGGAGGCGGGTGCGTATCTTGGCTACAACAAGATAGTGTTCCGAGTCGATGTTTGGGCCTCGGAGTGTGCGTACGTCTAAAACACTGGAAGCGTGCCTTCCGTCTATCACAACATGATCGATTTGGTTTCTCGTTTTTCGATCCGGAGACAGCCACGTAGCTTGATGGATCTTTTTATGCTTGAACCTAGTACTGCATACTACCATGTTTCGGGCCCCGGCGAAGTCGATCAGCTTCAATCCGTTGTCGGACGTTTCGTCGTGGAGGCTGAATTTTCCGACGGTGGTTCCAAAGATCCCTTCCTTGCCCACCCTGGCATTGAAGTCGCCAAGCACGATTTTGATATCATGACAGGGGCAGCGCTCATAGAAGAAATCCATGGATGCCTCATCCTTCTCTTCCGTCGGGGCATGGGCGCAGATGAGCGAGATGTTGAAGAATCTCGCTTTGATGCGGATTGTGGCTAGACGCTCGTCCACCGGGGTGAACGACAGTACTCGGCGACGGAGTCTCTCTCCCACCACAAATCCAACTCCGAACTTGCGCTCCTTTACATGGCAGCTGTAGTAGACGTCGCAAGGCCCCAGACATTGTTTGCCTTGCCCCGTCCAACGCATTTCTTGGATGGCGGTGATGTCAGCTTTTGTCCTTACGAGGACATCAACCAGCCGGGCAGAGGCACCTTCCCCATTAAGGGTCCGGACATTCCAGGTGCATGCCCTCAAATCGTAGTCCTTTAAACGTTTGCCGTGGTCGTCATCATAAGGGGGGGTCTCATCCGAGGCTTTGCCTTGCTTCTTCACTGGAAGTGGTTTTTACGTGGCGGGTCCCAAGCCCAGCGCACTACCCATTGCTGGGACGGGGGTGGTTTCGCAACCAAATACACGTTTATATAGCGAGCCGCTTGCTCCAAGCAGACACCCGCTTGCAGCCGCACCTACTGGTGAACAGACGCTGCAGACTTCAGTGAGCCCTTAAACCGAATAAGTCGGAGTGGCCCCACCGAAGCTCCCTCTCTTTCTGCCGTGACCCAAGGCTCAACTCGGATTGGTTACCGCATCTCGCACATGGGTTGCTCACGTTGCCCAGAGTGCGCGAACGAGGACGCAAGAGTCGGGATTGAGTATAGCCATGCAACTGTAACTGCACACCCAGCGCAACGACTATACCCCATTGCACTCTGGGCGAAGTTAGCCTTAATGTTCCCTCCCGGGTGTCAAGACACTTTTGACCCCTATTTCTGAAAGCTTGTAAAACTAATTTTTAATTTCACGACCCACTCCGTTGCTTATGCCAGGATTTTAATTCTCATTCCACCACGTTTGATATATCAGATCCGCTTTTCAGCATTAAGAAATCGATACTGTCCTCTGAATAAATTAATCATTAAAATAAAGGCATTAAATCGACTGATGAATTTAGTTCTGTAGCTGAACAGTTTTAGATCTCGACACTTAACAAACTCCTGCCTATCGTGACTCGGCGCAAAAATTGAAAATAAATACTGGTTCCGTACGTCATGCAGACTGCGCCCCTCGTGCGTATGGGCGGGAATGGAGGGTAAACACCGTTGGGATTATTATTTTTAAAGCGGAGCGAATCGCGAACTCAAAGCAAAAATACGAAAAAGTGAACTCGATAAAAGCGAAACGTCAAAAACCCCTCGATTTCGCTCACCGTTCGTGCTTGCCTACCCCACTGACTTCGCTACACTTCTTGCCTACAGGCTCGACACGCATGACTTTCCACCCAGGGTGAAAAGTCATCGTGTAAATTGGCTCTAAGTAAAGTACTCGACAAAAATATGTTCCGAAAAAGAGAGGAACATGAAAGAGGAGTACTACGTTGTGAAACTTCCGCAAGTAAAATGTTCCTTCACGTGAAGTTTTCAAGTATTTTAGGAAGTTTTCGTTTGAGAGATATACGAAAATGATATGTCTCATGCACATAAAATATATTTACGTTTATTTCTAAAGGTTTTTTAAATATATATATACATAGGTGTAAGTGCATACATTATATATGCGTATATACGTATGTATTTCTTTAACCCTGAAAAGATAATCTGTAAAATTTACGAATGCATATTTTTCGTTCTCTCAACATAGCACTATTTTGTCTTTGCTTTCTCCCTTAATAATTAATTATAAACATATTTTAAATTCTGGTATTTTTATTATGTTTATATGAACATATATAGTCCATATAAGTTTATTCGAAATTATTCATTAAAATATGACAATATTGCTCGCTTGACTCATGCGTCAATTTTACGCATGACTATCTTTTACGTGTGTTAGAATATGATTATGTTTTTAGGGTTAAGGTATTTTTATGTCGGCGCTCCATATCTACCCTCATACTACATACAATTTAAATATTGAAAGACAATTTTGTAGGGCAGCTTTACCGCTTTCGGCAAAAACTACAAATTTTTACGTTGGGTAGCCATCTGTCTGAAAATAAAGTGAAGTGATATTTAAGTGGCGTAAAATTTGCAACGCTTTTATCGAAGGAAAGCCATTTCAGTACACTTTTATCAAGAGGTAAAGTTTTTTAATAGGGTTCCTACCTGCCTAAAAAGTTAAGTCAAACATATTATACATGTGTATGTAACTTCAATACATTATTATTTTATGAATATCAAATAAGTAATACAATTTTTGAATAGGGTTGCGACCAATGTATGTATCTTAAAAGTTAAGTTAAGTGCTTCAAAATAACGTACGCGAAGATACAAAATGTTTTGCCTTCCACCTATATGATTGTTGACTCTGTTTTAGATTCTTTAGAAGAAACTAAGGATCCTGGTATTATCTTTACCTCGAACTTTTCTTTTAATAGCCACATAAGCTTTATTATCGCTAAAGCGTACTCACTTTTGGGCTTTATTAGGCGTAATTGTGCGAAATTTTCGGATCCTTATACTCTTAAATTACTTTATACAGCCTTTGTTCGGTCAAACTTGGAATATGGTGCTATAATATGGAGACCATACCATATTTCCGCAGTAAATAGAATTGAAAGGGTCCAAAAAATATTTCTTAGGTTTGCGCTACGCTTATTAAACTTCTCCGAGCCAATGCCTACTTATAATTCACGGTTACTTCTAATAAATTTGAAAACGCTGGAGACAAGGCGAGTAATTCTTTCATTATCTTTCTTTTTCAATATTATTAGTGGTGACATTGATTGTACATCTCTTCTCGCTCGGATTAATTTTAACATCCCGCGGAGGTCTCTGCGTATTGTTGTACCCTTCTATGAACAAATTCTTAGAACTGATTACGCTCGAAATGCTCCCATCGCTCGAGCTATCAATGAACTTAACAGGATCTCGAACTCTGTTTCGTTTGATTTCTCAATATCTAAGTATGAACTTATTAACATATTGAATACAGTTTTGTAATATATTGTTAAGTTTTTACGTTGTTTGTTACATATAGCTCGTAGTCTGTAAAGCAGGGATCACACGATTTGTACATTTGTACAGAAAATGCCAAATTTAGATTTGTTCACATTTGCGCATTTGGATATCGATGTGCAAATGATTTGTTTTGCGATCAGACGATTTGGCTGCTAAAGATCCAAATGATTTGTCACACATTTGCACACGACAGAGAAGTGACAAATATTGTCCACATTCATTCACACGGTTTAACCATTTGGTCATAAATACTTAAACAGCTGATCAGTTCTCAACCATACTTTTGCATCTGTGATACATATTGTGAGATTTTAAGTGAAATATACAAAAAATAATGGATACGCAAAGGGAAAAGAAACTCGCAGCGATTATATACATTTGTTATTATATAAAACGGAAAAGATGTCTTGAAAAGAATAGTATTCCTAGAAAGAAAAGAAATATGACTCCACGAAGTGTTTGGGTGAACGAATGGCTCCTTAAAAGGTGCACCGAGGGCGCTTACGAAAAAACTTTGCGCGAGTTCCGGGAAATAAATAATCAAAAATATTTGTTTAAAAATTACTTACGTATGAACGAAACGACCTTCAGCGAACTTCTTAAAAAGATTTCTCCATTTGTAAAAAAGAATGATACAAATATGCGAAAAGCGGTTCCAGACTGTGAACGTTTGGCTTGTACACTGCGCTTTCTCGCTTCAGGGGACAGTTTTAAAAGCTTATCTGTAGTTTTTCGTATTGCGCCCAACACTATTTCTTTATTCATACCGGAAGTTTGTGATGCAAATTACAAAACACTCAAAGATGAATATTTGCAGGTAAATATACACCCATTATAGTATAAACGAAAAATTTAATTTTAGATTATTCATTTCTTAGGTTCCATCCAATGAAGATCAATGGAATGAAATTGCCAGAAAATTCAATGAAAAATGGAATTTCCCCAACTGCATAGGAGCAGTTGATGGGAAGCACATCCTAATGGAAGCTCCGACGCGATGCGGAAGTACCTACTTTAATTACAAAGGTACTCATAGCATAGTCCTAATGGCTATTGCAGACGCAGAGTATAAATTCGTATATATTGATGTTGGCTGCAATGGACGAGTTTCCGATGGTGGAGTTTTTGGCAAATCAACTTTCCAGCACGCCTTGAACATGAATTCTCTTGGACTACCTTCATCTAGACCATTGGAAGGCCGCGAACTTAATGTTCCATACGTTTTAGTGGCAGACGATGCCTTTCGTATGCAAAAGCACTTACTAAAGCCATACCCTGGAAGAAATTTGTCAGCTGGCCAGCGCATATTTAATTATCGTTTATCAAGAGCAAGACGTATTGTTGAAAATGTGTTTGGAATAATGGCCAAACGGTTTCAAGTATTTTCCCGACCAATTCGTTTGAATCCTACTAAAACAACAAAGGTCACCATGGCTTGCTGTGCTTTGCATAATTTTTTGATAACGAAATCTTCGAACTATGTGGAAAGCCAAACTGATGAGGAAGGCAATCTAATACCAATTGAATTTAACCAAGTTTCACTTCGACCAGTTCAAGAAGGAACAGTAGAACAGCCAAACAATTACATAAGCAATGAAGCAAAGGAAATAAGGAGAGAATTTGAAGAATATTTTATGTCTGTCAATGGTGAAGTACCATTCCAATACAGACATTTGTAAACTTGTATAGCCCACGCTCGAAAACGCGGCCATAATCAATTCATATTTTAATTAATTACACAGGCCTTCGAAATTAAACCCCCCGCCCCCTCCAATAATTATGTTATAATTTTTTTTCCAAATACTGAGATATCTAAAATTTAAATACCTCTTTTTTCATTGGTGACATATATATTTTAGAATTTTTTTAAACTTGCATGAGAAGCCAAAAAATAATTAATTTAGAATTGAATTTTAACAAAAACTTTAAATTATTAATTAAAAATACCCATAAAGAGACTAAGTAAATCATAAAATTTTATTAATTTCGATGTTAACGCTAAGAAAATTGTCAAAAATTATTTTTTTAAGAGTTAACACGCTAACGCTAACTTCGAAATTACATAAGTTTTTCTGATTTACTTTGTCTCGTTTTGGATATTTTTAAATAATACTGTTGGGTTTTAAGTAAAAATTCAATTCTAAATTAATTATTCTTTGGCATCTCATGCAAGTTGTTAAAATTTCTAAAATATACATGTACCATTAAAAAAAACCACGACGTGTTAGAAAAAACCAAAGAGATATTTTAATTTGACATACCTCGATATTAAAAAAAGACATAATTATTGGAGGGGGAAAAGTTAAATTTCACAGGTATGTGTCATTATTCAATAAATATTTAGTGTACTTAATTATTATAATGATTGTATTTACAGTGCCCAACCGGATGATTACAAACAATACTCAGATGTTTATATTTTAAGGTTTATTCGATTTTTTCAATTTTCACTAAATGTTTTATAAAAATATAGTAGTGCATAAAATAACATAAACCCTCTACATAAACCAAAGCTGAAAGCGTCGAGGAAAAATCACTCAAAATTTTTAATCAGTATTCAGATTATCAAAAATCGAGGCGAATTTTTGGCCACTTCAAACTTGCACTTGATTATGCTGAAATTTTGCTTAAAATTGTTTACAAAACTTTGAACTTTGATTTATGTATATGATTTATCGCCACTAGACACGAATAAAGGCGCGAGCTCAAAAGTTGACGCCGAAAAAGACGCATAAAAAAACTTCAGCGTCAAATACTCTTAACATACTTCGCCAAAGTCTTTTATAAGCATCTTTTTTCGCAAAATATTTTTAAACGCCTTTTTTCGCCGTCAAAACACTAGCGCGCCTTTATTCGTGTGTAGTGACGTTATGTTATTGAATGAACTATGTTTTCATGAAACCTATAGTTAAAATTGAAAAAAGTCAGATAGACTTTAAAATATAAACATCTGGGTCAGTACACATCTTCAGGCGGGGAGTGTTGGTTTAGAAATCAGCATACACGTATGGCCATAATAATAGTTGTACAACATTTTGACCAATTTTGACCACGTTTCTATATTTATTTAATGCTCATCTTTTTATAGAAATAAAAGTCATTCATTCCAACAATCCAAATTTCAAACTTTGTATACAATTTAGAAGATTCAACACGTTTTCATCAAAAGTTCAAATAGAATTTCAACAATAACTTATGGTATGCAATTTTATAGCCCATTATATTTCAGTATAATAGCGTGCAAGTATGAAGTGCTTTGATATTCGCGTTCATTTTTGATATTTTTTTGGTGACGGCATTGCGCATTTTCTTCCATGTAACAAAAAATTATGAGCAATTGTTTGTTCGGAAGGTGTAACTCCCCCTCTTGCAATACTTTTCACTTTCGCTGCTAGTTCGATATTGATAAGATTTTAAATGTTACTAAATTTCAGTACCTTAGCATACACGATTCCAGAGGTAAACAGTTTGTTCTTGTGGGAGGTGCCACAATTAAAAATTTATTAACAAGAAAATTAAAAGTAATTCATTAGAAATATGAAAAGAATATACATAAATATGTATATAGGGTAAAATTCCTCAAAGTGTTCCAACTATATAACTTTGGCGATTTTTTGAGATTCGCATTATTTCAAGTATGTTACTTGCAGTTTAATTGACAGATCTTCCTTCTTTTTTGAATAGTTATGTATAAGTGATTATATCATATTCCGATTGATATTTTTACAGTGTTTCGTGCTTTTCTACGGACATGTAACACGGTTTTTGTGACTGCAAAAATATCAATCGGAAGGTAATATCACCTATACGTAATAATATTCAAAGCCTTGCAACTAAAATTCTGATAACATAAATATCTGTTGAAATAATGCGAATCTCCAAAAATTGCCAAAGTTGCATAGTTGGTACACATGGGAGACATTTTTTCTATATATTTACCGAAATGGTTTTTTGTTCGGAAATAAATCGATCATCTAAAAAATGTTGGCTATCTCGGAGGATTTTCACTCTGTTATTTGGTCTTATTAACAGCCTACAGCGTTTCCATTGTTTTCTTTATAATTTCCGCATGTAGTTCATTTGCTGTTTGCTCGTCCTGTGCAGAAATATCCCTCATCTGCATTGCCATATATTGCCCGAAAACTGTCCATTTGTCATCTTTTTGTTCAAGCATTTTTATTGCTGACACTAAAATGTCGTCTGGCGATTTATTACTCCATGTACTTGCATTTTCATTAACACTGGATGTCTGAGTATCATCGTTTGAAATATCGACTTCGCTGTCCAACCTCAGATTTGACTCTGATGTTGTGGTTTTAGCACGGTCATGATTATAATAAAATTTCATCGCAGACCAGAACGGCCAGTGGGGTTTTTCGATTGCGCCTTGACCAGATTTAGTTGCATATTTTTTTTTTATATTGTTGTAGGAGATCTTAATATTGCTCCGTTTCGCCTTGCATTCATCCATGCTGTGAACAACTATTTTTTCCTGAATTTGCTTCCATGCATCGTCCTTTTGTTGGCGATTTTTATAGTCGCTAGAAGAATATTCCCATATGCATGAATGAACTTCAATGGCGTTAATTAATTTAAAGATGTTCTCCTGTGTCCAAGCTGTTGTTACATGCGTCCGTTTTCTCTTTTTTTTCTCAGAATCTTTAATTGGTGTTGATGTCGAGGCTACATCCTCACATACTGCAGTAATTAAAATCTGATCTAAATCTTCGACCGCTTCCATTGTCTATTATAAATTGCAGTTTTTAACATATATATGTACACTTATTGATGTAAAGGCATTAACTCACCAAAATATCTAACGATTAAAGTTAAATACGAGATATTTTAAAGAAACCTAATCAAAGCAACTTAATAATTGAATGTATTTTGTTTTTATTTGTGTTCAATTGAATGGATAGAACAGCTGATTTTGGGGCGAGAAGACCCAGTGTTGCCGCAGTACAAAAGTTTTTAACCAAGTATAGACGAAAAACTTACCAAGTCGAAGAAAAAATCACTACCACTTTTACAATAAACTGTTGATTGACAGTGAAAATATACTTTCCCTGAGACATAGCTGAGGTTGTTTAATCAAGCAGGTCTAATTATGCATATGCATAAGGTCTAAAAACGCGTTTTTCATTGGTTGAAGCACATTTGCATGTACTTGCCCATAACTTTATTTCTGTTTACCCGATGAAAAATACATTTCGCCGCTTACAACAATGTATAAATTGTTAATTTATCTTGAGATATGCTCGGGGAATAATAGGCAAATTTTCAAGGCGAATTGCGGCAATTGTAAACAAACTAGTCTAGACATCTACCTCGCCGGGAGCAGTTAAATATTTAACAATCGCATTATTACTACACCTGAAAATATGCAATGCGCTACTGCAGGGGAACCGCACGATACGCCATTTATTTAAATGGAATTAATTGCTGCTCATATGTATGTACATACTTAAGAATATACACGTAGGTTGTAAGAGAGAATAAATAAAATGTCAGTTTGATAAAATACGATACATATATGTATCAGAATCTCAATGATTTATTTTAATATCTATTGCAAAATTATATACAGACAAGACTAAAAAGTAGAAAAACATACGGGGTATTCCATGAGTAAGTGAAACTTTGTGTCCAATTTTAGAGTAGCTTATTGAACATGGAATGCTTGATGATTCAATGCTCAATACCTGAAATTAACGTTTTTTCGAAAAAAAATTTAGTTATATTATTTTATTACACTGTAAATACACTCAAAACTTCAACATTAGAAAAGTAGTTGAATACGACAACATATTTTAATATAGAAGGCTCTGCAAAATCAAGTATTCACAAAGTTATTATTTTTTTGAAGGGGGGAATAAATGTCTCGATCTTTCTGCGCCCCGAAGAAGCAATATGGCATTGAAGAAAAATAGGCATTTAAATTATATAATAGGATAAAATCACTACGGTTTAGCATGTCCAACCCGTGACTAAAAAGTTTTAAACTTCGTATTGCTTAGTTACTACTTTAGGGAGTTTTCTATAATTTCATAACTAGAGTGTGTTTATAATAAGCAGCCCTATTTCATTTCTTTTATTATATTATAAGTACCTACTTAAGAGATTTTGAAACGTTTTATCGTGTCCCGCCCGTGACAATCTTTTATAATTTTTTTCTAATGATGCCTAACAATAAAAAAATAAGTTTAACGTTTCAAACCTATGTTTAATGCCACAAAACTCTGAAGTAAAGGTTGACTAAACACCATAATACTGTTGGTGGGCTAAGCGATGTAGTAAAAAATTTCGCGTGGCCAGCTCGAAAAGTCAAGATAAGCATTACTATTTTAGAGACGCCAGAGAATTCTATGATGAGGGTTGCTTAACAACAATTAAAAGTCAATATTAACAATTACCTGAAAAGTTCCAACCAAGAAAATCTAGAAGTTCGCGAAACTTATAAATTCAATCCAATAAATAGCCTTTAAGTGACAAAGATATACATATGTATCTGCTTACAAGTATTCTAATGCAGATAACTTTTCGGATTAGACATCGATACACAAGATCTTTTCTGACGTTCTATGGTTTTAAGGAATAGCTAAATTTGAGCATGATTTGTCCATGAAATCAGTTTCCAAAAATAACTCAACTCGAGCCACTCTTAAGCCGGTTACTCAATGTCTGGTCAACACTAACAGCAGGTTAGACATCTCTATCGACGTGATAACAGTAGTCGATATACATGTTTAGCCTGTAGTTAGTATTAGTCAGACATACATAGCTATTCTAAACAAACTTGAAAATCATTAAGGCACATTCGAAATTTCGTTGC